CTCCCCCCCCCCCGTGGCGCCCGCGCCCCCCAACCCCCCCCCACCCTGGGCGCCCACCCGCGCGAGGTGGCGGAATTGCGCAGCATCGCCACTGGATACAAATAGATAGATGGGCGCATATATCTGTCTATATTCCTCTTCGAATATTCTTATATCGGGAAACCGCGGGTGACCCCCCCCCGTACATAAATTCGGCCCTGGGCGCTCCCATCGGCGGGAAATTCGGGCATTCGGTTCCGGAGGCCCCTCTCGGTCATCCCAAGCCGCCCTGGCGAGCTCAAGATCGCTCCCTGGACGGTCCCGCGGAGCACCGAAACGGCCCAAGACCGCTCCAACACGCCCAAACTGGTCTCCGGACGGCCCAAAAGGCCCCCAAGACGCCCCACGAGAGCCCGTAGGTCACCCCCAAGCGGACCTCAGAAGCCAAAATTTGTCAATTTCCTATGGTTTTTCATGATTTTCAACGTGCTCGCTTTCTCGACCTCTCGACCACGCAAGACGGTCAAACAGGCCCCCACGATTGCCCCAAGACGCCGGAAGTGGTTCCCATGAGGGCTCCACAACGGCCCAAGAGGGCCCCAAGATGGCCCCAAGATGGTTCCAAGACGGCCCAAGACCACCCAAGAAACCCCGCAAGTCGGCCCAAGATGGCCCCAAGAAGGACCGACGGAACTGACCTTTCGAGCTCTTCCCCCAAATATGGCCCCAAAGCCGCCGAGGGTCCCCCCAAAGAGCCCTCCGAGGGTCCCAGAAAGCCCCAAGAGACCTCGACGACGCCTTCCCAGCCCAACAAATGAGCTCAAGAGCCCCCCCCCGGGAGGCCACACAGATGCTTCAATGAGGTCCCCTACCCGGCCTAAAGCACTTCCGCACGGCCCACGAGAGCCCCAAGACGGCCCAACAAAGAGCCGTCAGTGTCCCCAACGGCTCCCAAAAGCCCCCCAAGACGGCCACAGGAGGCCATAACAACACCTCACAGAGTTTCATGACGGCCGTGAGCCCTGTGAGCCCTACACGCCCCATCAGCCCTACGCTCCCCATGAGCCCTACGAGACCTGCGACCCCTACGAGCCCTACGAGCCCTCTGAGCCCCATGAGCCCTATGACACCTCCCAGCCCCGTGAGACCTCCGACCCCTATGCGCCCTGTAAGCCCTATGAGCTCTGTGGCCCCTGTAAGCCCTACAGGCCCCATGATCCCTGTGAGCCCAACCATCCCTACGGGCCCTATGAGCCCTACACGAGCCCTATGAGCCCCATGAGCCCTATGACACCTCCGAGCTCCATCACCCCTACGAGCCTCGTGACCCCTAAGGGCCTTATCAGCCCTACCAGTCCGACGACCCCTACGAGCCCTACGACCCCTGCGAGCCTTACGAGCCCTACAACCATGAGCCCAATGAGCCCTACGAGCCCTACGACCCATGTGAGTCTTACGAGCCCTTTGAGCCCTAGGATGCCTACGGACTCTCTGGCCCCTGTGCCCCTCGCGAGCCCCACGAGTCCACTGCACCTGGTGAGCCTCACGAGCCACATGATCCCTCCACCCATATGCCCCCTGAGATCCCTATGGGCCCCTATGAGCCCTACGACCCCTAAGAAACATATGAGCCCTATGAGTTCTACGATTCTGAGAACCCCATGACCCCTACGAGCTTAGGAGCCCGATGAGCCCTGCGAGTTTCAAGACGGTTCCTGGCCCTATCAGGCCCGCTACTCCGCACCCATCCCCCAACTCCTACACTCCCTACGTGCCCGAGGGGCAAGCGCATCTCTCCTGCACCCCGGCCCGTCGTCGTCCCGGCACGTCGTCGTCCTCAGGACTGCAAGAATTTCGGATCGCCTTTCGAGGCGTACGACGTGCTGGCTCTGAGGCGTGGAGCTTGAGCCCACAGGCAAAAACATGTTTAAGGCCAGCTCCAGATCCCTCGGGAACCGCCCCGAGCCCGCCCGGACCGCAGGGGCGCATCAGACGTGGTCGGGGCATTCGCGCCCTATGAGCCCTATGGGCCTGGCGAGCCCTGTGAGCCTCACGGGCCGCATGGGCCCCTGGGCCGCATGGGCCCCATGAGCCCTATGAGCGAGCCTTATGAGGCCTACGGCCCCCGCGGGCCCCACGACACCTTACGAGCATGTATGGCCTTTGAGCTCTATGGGCCCTATGGGCCCTACACGCCGTATGAGCCCCATGAGCCCCAGGAGCCCTATGAGCACTATGAGCCCTGCGGGCACCATGAGCCCTATGAGCCCTACGGGCTCCCGGGCCGTATGGGCCCCATGAACAACAGGAGCCCTATGAGCACTATGAGCCCTACAGGCACCATGACCCCTATGAGCCCTACGGCCCCCGCGGGCCCTACGACCCCCTACGAGCCATGCATGGCCTTTGAGCCCCATCAGCCCTATGAGCCCTACAGGCCGCACAAGCCTTATGAGCCCTATGAGCCCCAGGAGCCCTATGAGCACTACGAGCCCTGCGGTCACCATGAGCCCTATGAGCCCTATGGGCCCTGCAGGCCGTGTGAGCCCTACGAGCCTCATGAGCCCCAGGAGCCCCATGAGCACTATGAGCCCCGCGGGCACCATGAGCCCTGTGAGCCCTACGGGCCGTATGAGCCCTATGAGCCCCAGGAGCCCCATGAGCACTATGAGCCCTACGGGCACCATGAGCCCTATGAGCCCTATGGGCCGTGCGATTCCTATGAGCCTCATGAGCCGAATGAGCCCTACGGGCCCGGAGGGCTCTACGAGCTTCATGGGCCACATGAGCCTGTGAGCCATGTGAGCCCTATGAGAACCCTTGGCCTTATGAGCCCTATGAGCCCCATGACCTTATAGGCCTTATGAGCCTTATGACTGCTGTGAGCCGCATGGGCTTCATGAGCCTCATGAACCCTATGAGCCCTACGGGCCGTATGAGTCCTATGAGCCCTACGAGGCCCAGGAGCCCTATGAGCACTATGGGCCCCGCGGGCACCACGAGACCTATGAGCCCAATGAGCCCTGTGAGCCCTATGAGCCCTGTGAGCACTGTGAGCCCTAGAAGCCCTGCGAGCCCTACGAGCCCTATGGGACCATGAGCCCCATGAGCCCTATGAGCACTGGAGCACTGTGAGCCATATGAGCCCTACGACATCTGTGAGCCTGACGAGCCCTGCGATCCCTGTGGCCCCATGAGACCCAATGAGCCCTATGAGCCTTCTGAGCCTCACGGACCTTACGAGCCCGATGATTCCCAAGAGCCGATGACCTCACGGAACCCCAGGAGCCCTACAATTCCAACGAGCCGATAAAATCTTGTGTATATATATAAATGTATGTGTATATATATGTATACATATATGTATGTATATATATATATATATATATGTCGGGGGTGAGGGGGTGAGATCGAAGTGGAACGGAGAGCCCCCCTACCGGGAAATCGGTTTCGGTTTCGTGCTCGTGCGTGCCGTGCGTGCGAGGCGAAGCTGCGTGGGGGGGCGAGAGGAAAGTCTCCTGTGGCTGAAGCGCGGCCGGACCAAATGACTCCCTTCCGGCAACCGGTGGCCTGCGGTGTCCCGCCGGTGTCCCGCTGTGGCTGAGGCGCGGCCGGACCAAATGACTCCCTTCTGGCGTGCGGTGGTCCGCGGTGTCCCGCCGGTGTCCCGTCGGTGTCCCGATGATGATGATGATGATGATGATGATGATGATGATGATGATGATGATGATGATGATGATGATGATGATGATGATGATGATAATGATGATGCTGATGATGATGATGATGATGATGATGGTGATGATGATGACGATGATGACGATGACGATGATGTTGTTGTTGATGATGATGGTGATGGTGGTGATGATGATGGTGTCCCGATGATGATGCTGATAAAGATGATGATAATGATGATGATGATGATGATGATGATGATGATGTTGGCGATGTTGATGATGATGAAGATGGTGGTGATGATGATGGTGTCCCGATGATGATCATGTTGATGATGTTGCTGATGGTGATGATGGTGACCCGATGATGATGATGAGGATGATGTTGATGATCCTGATGATGTTGATGATGATATGATGATGATGATGGTGAAAATGGTGATGATGGTGTCCCGATGATGATGATGAGGTTGATGATGTTGTTGGTGATGATGGTGATGGTGATGTTGATGATGACGGTGGTGAGGTGATGATGATGGTGATGGTGCCCTGATGATGATTATGATAATGATGATGATGTTGATGACGTTGGCGACGATGATGTTGATGATGATGACGCTGAGTGTGAGATCGACTGTGATATCGATAATGAGATCGATAGTGAGACCGAATGTCAGATCGCTTGTGAGATCGAATGAAATAGATCGAGTGAGATCGATTGTGAGACCGATCGAGTGAGATCGATCGAGCGAGACCGATAATGAGATCGATCGTGAGATCAATAGTGAAACCGATCGGGTGAGACGTTGGTTCCTCCCCCCCACCCCTCCTTGTCACCCGAAGGGTGGTCGTATAGGTATGTGTGTATGCAGATGCAAATCCATCCCGATGTTCCGATGTGTGTCCACTCGTGAGTTGACTTGCGTCCAATGCGGAGTAAAGGTGGTGTCAATCTCCCCCAACCTCCTCTGTCACCCGAAGGGCGGTCTGTGCGGTGGAATGCCGCTTGGGGAAGGGACGATTCCCCCTCCCTCCTCTCCTCCACCCCCCGCTTGCGCCTCCTCTCTGACGACCTCCCTCTCCTGTGGCGAGGCCTCTGCCCTCCGCCCCAGCCACGAGCCCTGAACGGCAGGTGCACAGGGGAGCTTTGGGAAGCTCTGCGTGGGTATGCCCCAGGCTTGCCACACGTGCACCCCAAAAGGTTCCCAGGAGCGGCCCGAATCTGCCTCTGGGGCGCGAAATTGCTTCAATCATTTCTCCAAGGCCTCTGGGAGTACGCATCGCTGGTGTCCACTTCTGGTCCTTTGGACCTCTGCCCGTTTCTGAATTTGTCCCTGGCCCCCCGCGATGGCAACTTCGAGTGGCAGCAGTTTAGTACACGTAACGATGTTCTTGTTTACAAAACATCGCGACACGAGGGCACTGGTCCCCGCTTCCAGGGCACTTCTGGCTGCCAACAACCTGAACTAAGGCGCCCCATGCAAATCAAGTGCCCTTCTTTTTCTTCTTCTTCTTCTTCTTCTTCTTCTTCTTTCTTCTTATTCATGAGGTTATCAGCAGCTCTCCAAAACTTCTCCATGACGCTCAGCACCCATTTGACCTTGTCAGCAGTATCGTGCGACTGCTGCGCTCTCTTTGCGGCGTCGGCCAACTTCCTGAGCTTCACGCCCTTCTCACCCATTTTCACGAGGCGGCCTGCTTCGGAAGCTATCAGTTTCGCTGCCTTCGCTTCCTCTGCTGTGCCCCAGGTAGCTACGTCAGCGACAAACCAGAGAACGCCCCAGAAAAGCAGGTCACCGTTGTTCTCGCGCAGGCCGCGCCCGATGTCCATCGCGGGGCCCACGATGGGGATGAGAGAGCCTAATTGCTTAGCCAATTCCTGCGCGACCTCCAGCACGATCTGGTCCAGATTGTCCTCGTCCTCCCCATCATCGTCTTCGTCCGACGGGTGGCGAGCGAGGAGCGTGATGGTGTGGCGGGCCCGCCAAGACAACCGCGGCGAGCGCGATGTCGTTACGCGATGCCTGTAACGCCAATGCGCTCCCAGCAACATCCCTGCAAGTGCAGCGCTGTGATGACACGTATCGCTTGATTTGTTGACACCTCCCATTGCCTGCATGGCTAATTACCGAAAGCGCTTCGTGCGGCAAGCCTCCTCGAAGACTCCGCATCGGAACCGTAAACACTTGGACTCCCGAGCCAGGTGTGACCATCCAGATAGCCAAAGCGAGCCCACATGCCAACACGAGCACACAGCTCATGTGCTATCTGCGAAGAGTGCGAGCAAGGCAGATGCATTCATTCACGCTGGTCTTGACCTAAGCAAGGACAGCTCGAGCGAAGGGCTGCGGAGGCACGATCTCCTGGAAGAGCGAAGCATGCACGATGAAGACCGCCCCATCCTCAACGTCTTCCTCCTGCTCCTCCTAAAACTAAACATACCTCGGAGGCGAACAAAATCAGTCGCATCGGGAACCTTGGAAAACCAAGCGAGACGCGCCCTCCAAATCGTTATAACCTCTGTGCCCGCTCCTCCTCCACCTCATCCTACTTACCGAAACCTGATCGGACATGGCGTCTTGGAACGATCTTTGGGCGTCTCGGGGCCCTCGTGGACCGTCTTCGGCGCTTATTGGAGCATTCTTGGTCCGTTTTGGGGCCCCCAGGGACGGCCCGGGAGAGCCTCGGGGACCCCCAGGGCCTTCCAAATTCTATTGGAGGTGGGTGGGGCCCATCACTGTCGGCTTCCTGGTGTGAGGTAGTGAAACTATGATTATATAGTTGCAAGTATGTACCTAAATATAGTATTATATAAATACACATACACACGTGCATACACATATACATACATACATACGTGCATACACACATACATGCATGCATGCATGCATGCATGCATGCATGCATACATACATACATGCATGCATGCATGCATGCATGCATACATACATGCGTACATGCATGCACACATACATACACACATACATACATACATACATACATACATACAGACAGACAGACAGACAGACAGACAGACAGACAGACATACATACGTACGTACGTACATACATACATACATGCACACATACATACAAACAAACACACATACAGGCAGACAGGTTGGCAGAAAGACAGAACGACATAAAGACAGACAGACAGACAGACAGACAGACAGACAGACAGACAGACAGACAGACAGACAGACAGACAGACAGACATATCTGTATATATATATATACTAGAACCATCGCGCGCGCTTCGCACGCGCTCAAGTTCTAGCTAGGGTCATGATCATCGTCATCATTGTCATCCTCATCCCCGTCATCTTCATCGTCATCATCATGGTCATGGTCACCTTCACCATCACCATCACAACAATCATCATTATCGCCATTATCATCAGCATCGTGATCACCATCGCCATCGTCGTCATCTTATCTTCCATCATCATTATCCGCATCATCAACATCCTGTTGGTTGTCGTCGGCGTCGTCGGCATAGTCATCGTCATCATCAGCGTCATCGCCGTCATCATCCCCGGTCCACTGCAGTCCCCTTAGCCTCCTCCTCCTCTTCCCTGTCTCCCTCTTCCCATCATCTTAGATTCATCCTTTTTTCCTCGTCGGCGTTTCCCTGAAAGGGATCCCTGTTCCTTCACCTCCTCCTCCTCTTCCTCTTCTTCCTGCTCCTTCTCCTCCTCCTCCTCCTCCTCCTCCCTGTCCTCCCCGCTCTTCGGTGTGTCCCTCCTTGTGTTCCTTCACCTACTTCACCTCCTTCCTCCTCTCGAGCACTCTTCATCCTGCGCTCCCCTTCCCTCCTCGTCCTCAGCATCCCTCCCCGAGCCAGAGAATCAGAGAACAAGATAATCTTGCAAGAACAATGTCCCTCCTCCTCTTTCCCCTCATCTTCCCCCTCTTCGTCCTCCTGCCCTTCCTCCCCCTCCTCCTCCTCCTCCTCCTCCTCGTCCTCCTCCTCGTCCTCGTCCTCCTCCTCCTCCTCCTCCCTCTCCCTTCTCCTCCTCCTCCTCTCCTCCTCCTCCCTCCTCCCTCCTCCTCCTCCTCCTCCCTCCTCCTCCTCCCTCCTCCTCCTCCCTCCTCCTCCTCCTCCTCCCTCCTTCCTCCTCCTCCTCTCCTCCTCCTCCTCCTCCTCCTCTGCTCCTGCTCCTCCTCCTCCTCCTCCTCCTCCTCCTCCTCCTCCTCCTCCTCCTCCTCCTCCTCCTCCTCCTCCTCCTCCTCTCCTCTCCAGGCACCAAGTACACGGGTGCCTACTGGACCGCGTGCCGGGAACCTTTTTGGGGAGCATTGTGGCAGTCTCTGGAGCCTCTCCGGGTCTTGCTTTGGAGTCCTTTGGGGCCTTTGTTGGCCCGTCTGAGGGCCCATTTCGGCTGTTCTGGGTCCCTCTTGGCTCGTCGTGGGAAGCTCAGCCCGTCTTGGGGCCCTCCTGGGGCCCTCTCCGACCATGTAGGAATCCTCTGTTGGCCCCCTCGGGCTTCCTGGGGGCTCTCTTGGGCCGTCTTGTAGCTCTTCTTTGCTGCTTGAAGCTCTCTTCAGCCCATCTTGGAACCCTCTTTGGGGCCTCTGGGGTCGTCGGGGGTCCATTTTGGTAACCTCTTGGGCCGTCGCGACCGCTGGTAGGACTGAAAAGCAAATATCAAAGAAACATACGTTTTCCCATCATAATGCTTGATTTTTGCTTTTGGAAGGGCCTTCTCAGCGGCCTCTTGGACAGTCGTGGGGGGTCATTTGGGGCCTTTTGTGGCCCGTCTGGGAGCCCATTTCGGCTGTCCCAAGCCCCTCTTGGCATGTCATGGGTAGCTGCGCCGTCTTGGGGCCCTCATGGAGCCCTCTCCGACCGTGTCATGTAGGGATCCTCCGGTGGCTCCCTCGGGCCCCCTGGGGACTCTCTCGGGCTGTTTTGGAGCTCTGTTGTGCTGCTCGACGCTCTCTTGAGGCTGTCTTGGAGCCCTCTTGGGGGCCTCGTGGACCGTGTGGTGCCGACTTGGGGAGCCCTTGGGGCCGACGTGGTCGCCGATGGAACATACGAAGCGAATCTCATAGAAATGTGCGCTCTTCCAAAGGAAATGCTAGTTTTTTGCACCCGGGAGCCTTCCCAGCGGCTTCCTGGACCGTCTTCAGGGGAGACCTGGTGGGCCTTTTTTGAGACCCTCTGGGAGCCCAGTTCGGCCGTTCCTGGTCCCTCTTCGCCCGCCATGGGAACCTGAGCCCGTCTTAGAGCCCTCTCCGACCATGTAGGGATCCTCCGGTGGCCCCCTCGGGGTTCCTGGGTACTCTCTTGGGCCGTGTTGGGGTTCTCTTGTGCTGCTTGAAGCTCTTTTCAGGCCGTCTGGGGGCCCTCTTGGGGCCGTCTGGGGCTCATTTTGGGAGCCTCTGGGGCCGTCGCGGCCGCTGGTAGGACTGAAAAGCAAATGTTCAAGAAATATGCGTTTTCCCATCGGAAATGCTTGATTTGTGCCCTTGGAGGGCCTTCTCGGCGGCCTCTTGGACCGTCTTGAATGCCGTTGTGGCCGTCTAGGAGCAGTCTTGGGCTGTCTTCGAGCGCTCGTGGCGCGTCCAGAAGCCACCTCAGTGCGCTCTTCAGCCACCTTGCAGACAACCTGGGGCGCTCTGGGCGCCTCTTGGGCCAGCTTGGGAGCCTCTGGGGGGGTCCGGGGCCCCTTCTGAACCCTGTTGGAGCCCTCAAGGCCCCCCCGGCCCCCCATACGAACCAGAGGCAGCAGTTCTGGGCCCTCCCCCGACCTACTCCGATATATATACATATATATATATAGATATACACACACACCTTCTATTTAATATATATATATATATATATATATATATATGTGTATGTATATATACATATATATATATATATATATACGTATATATATATATATATATATTATCATACGCACCTCTCCGAGGGAGTAGAGCTCAGAGGCGATTAATGCGTACGCGCCGCGTCGTTCGCGATTTGTCTGCCCGTTTCGCTCGGGACATCCTCGAAATTCTGAAAATCGGTGGCACCTCTCACACAGATCGTGACGTCAGGGTCCAAAAACACATGGGAATTTCAACATTCTAACATAAAACCTTCAACAACACATTGTATTTTCAATGATTTTGACGCCGATTCTCAGAGAATGGGGGTTTCGCCTGAGATATCCTCCCAAAATCGAACCCCGACATACCATCTGGTACCCCAGACCCCGCCTCGCAGCCTCCTGGGGGCCTCCTGGAACCTCCTGGGGCCTCCTGGGGCTTTCTGTACCTTCTGGTACCCCAGACCCCGCATCGCAGCCTCCTGGGGGTCTCCTGGAACCTCCTGGGGCTCCTGCGGCCTCCTGGAGCCTCTTGGGGCCTCCTGGAGCCTCAGAACTACATGCACACACAGAGACACAAATCACACCCAACACATCACACGCTAGACAAACATAACACACACACACAACACCTACAACGCACAGAAAACACGCACGACACAGAGCACACATCACACACACACACACACACACACACACCCACACAACAATCACAATCCTGGAGCCTCCTGGAGCCTCTTCCGGTATCCAAGTCGGGCCTCCTGAGGCTTCCTGGGGGGCCCTGGTAGACAAATCGCAAGGTGTGGCAACCCCACTTGCGCTCGAGTGCGACCTCGCTATTGAATTTGTTGTATGAGCCTGGGAACACACGTGCCACTAGTGTGTGTGTGTATATATATATATGCTCGAGCATGCCCCTCCCCCTGACAATCCGAAAAATCATGGCGACGATGCGTCGGGCGCATGTTTCGTGTCTTCAAACCGTGATCGCAGAGTGCCTCATCGTGAACGACGGCGTAAACGATTTCAAGAAGTTCAGTCGGAATCCTTTTTTGGAGGATTTCAATAGGAACCCTTCTGCTGAGGATTTCAATGTGAATCCTTATGTTAAGGATTTCAATGAAAATCCTGCTGTGGAGGATTCCAATCGGAACCCTTCTATAGAGGATTTCAATCTGAATCCTTCTGTGGAGGAGGTAAATCGGAATCCTTCTGTGGAGGAGTTCAATAGGAATCCTTTTGTGGAGGAGTCCAATAGGAATCCTTCTGTAAAGGATTTCAATAAAAAAAATCCTGCTGTGGAGGGTTAGGACTCCTTCTGTAGAGGATTTCGATACGAATCCTTCTGTAGAGGCTATTAATAAGAATCCTGCAATGAAGGGTTTCGATAGAAATCCTGCTGTCGAGGATTCCAGTAGGAATCCTTCTGTGGAGGATTTCAATAGGAATCCTTATGTCGGCGATTTCAATAGAAATCCTTCTGCAGAAAAGTTTTCTAGGACTCCTTCTGCAAAGGATTTCAATCGGAATCCTCGTGTTGAGGATTCCAAAAAGATCCTGTTGTGGAGGGTTTCAATATGACTCCTTCTGT